GGCCACTCGGTAGTCTTCAAGCCAAGTATCGGGCTTGGACTCGCCAGTGAACTTGCTGACTCCAGTCGCCAACCTGAAGTTGGGAGGAATCACAACAGCCCTGATGGCTCTACTAAAGCACTCTAGCCCCGAAACATGTGTCTGCTGCTGGTAGGAGCATCTCTGTCGTCTCCTTCCCGGTGAGCTCTGTTCCTGTCAACCAAACCTTGAACAAGAATGGATCTCGCATCAAAGCCTGGCTCCCTGGAGTCGACTGGAATCCTTCACCCAACACTACGAGGGCGCCTATCATCCTGTTGTCGAGGCGCATACGACCCACTCCTCGGGGGAGGGGTGGGCACTCGACGTCGATCATCACGATCGAATCAGTGATCATATTGCTCACGGTTACCATGCTGATTACGCCGCTCCCCACGTCCCTCACACCTGGGGGACGATCTTGGGCTATGAGCTGACTGGACTGTGTCTGTGGCAACGGATCTACTGTGAATCCTGTTCCGTGACTGAGAAACAGCGGAATTCTGGTCTCCTGCTGCCCGGAGCAACGCTCTGATCTGCAGCAAGCCTCTGCCAGCCTCCGACTGGGAAGGCTGAATCGACTCTGCTATGCGGGCTGCAGATGCTAAATTCTGAATCGGAGTTTGATATACCTGCGGGGGCGGGAAGAGCTGACGTCGACTGGATTCGGGAACCCGTTGTCGCATACACTCGTCGAGTGCTCGCTGGAGGTTCTCCAGTCGAGTGCGCTCGGCCAAGTTTGCCAGGCGCGCGTCCTCCAAGGCACGAGCCTCGGGGGTTTCTCCAATGATAGGAGTGTGCAATGCATCCATGTTCCGGCGGCGAAGTTCTTCTCTCTGCAGCGACGTGAGAGGCTCGGGAAGATATTCCTCATGAGGACGCGACGGGTCGCCTCCACCCGCGCGTCCATCAGTGCGGAGAAAACCGGGAGGACTGGGAGGTCCATCGACCATCAGAACCTCCGCCGCCAGATGGCTGCTGTCGCACTCGGATGCGGTCTCTGCAGAGCCGGTCGAACAGGCCGTAGAGGGATTCGTCGGGCTCGATCGCTGCGACTTGAGGGGTGGCTGACTAACGTGCCACCGCGTGTCTCGCCCACCGCTGGAGTCTCGACCGACCAGAGTGCTTGCGCTGGCGGGAAACTGGGAGGGAGGACAACACAGAAGCCGACCGGTAGGGGGTCGACGGTTGCCGCAGGAGAACGCCGCGGACGCACACGCTAAAGTGCGTTGCCCCACGGACAGGGAGTGCGTCCACGTCGAGAAGAGCATCCTGAAGCCACGCGGAGTCGTCGGCGATGAACGTGAGCGCGCCGAGACGGATCTCGCGGCCCTCCACCAAAACTCCGCCGAAAACCATGATGATTCGGGTCGGAAAAGATCGCAACTCCTCCAACAAAATGCTAAAACACCTGCCCCACGGTGGGCGCCAACTGTTGTGGTTCTAAGTCTGACAGTGATGTAGGGGGGTAAGTATGGAGAGGCAAGATCTTAGCTATAGAGGAGTTGTAGGAACGCAAGATTTACGAGTTCAGGCCCTCCTCGGAGGAAGTAATAGCCCTATGTCTCAGAGCCCAGAGGCGGTCGACTGGATTATGCGTGTGTGAATTACAGGCGTGCGAACCCTTGTCTCAGAGGAGGGGGGCGGCTTATATAGAGTGCGCCCAGACCCCGGCCAGCCCACGATACAAAGGGTTCAATGTACATTAAGACAGGGCGTTACCGGTAACGCTAGTAATAAAGTGCTATGATGACCATAAAAGCTACTTAATAACCGACCGTTAGCATGCGGAGCGCCTTTAGGTCACCTGACCGTCGAGTGGCTTGGTCTTGGTCGAGTGATTGCTTCTTGGTCGAGTATCTTCAAGTCTGTCGAGTGAGACACCTTCAAGTCGATTGAAAGATGATTTCTTCTGAAGATGTCCTTGGGTAGGTTAGTTTGGACAGGTCCATGACCCTACCCTAGGTATATAGCTTCATCACTGCGCGGGGGCGCGGCCGGGGCGGCTGGAGGCGCCGAGGAGCCGTTGTGGGTGGTGCCGGCGACGAGGGTGGTGTGGATGGCCCGCGCCTTCACCTGCTTCATCTGCCGCTCCTCCAAGCGGAGGTATGCAACGAACTTGGCAAATGACGGGTTGGGGATGAGAATGAGGTTTGCCGCGGCGTTGCCGAAGTCCTCGTTGAGCCCGGCGGTGAGCGTGCTGAGGAGGAGGTCATCATCGATCTTCGCGCCAATATCGCGGAGCTCGTCAGCGAGAGTCTTCAGGCGGCGACAGTAGTCATCGACGGAGGTGTTGTCCTGGTGACACCCAAAAAACTCTTGCTGCAAAAAAACGCGACGCTGGAGCTGGTTGTTAGTGAAGAGCCCGTTCAGCTTGGTCCATACGGCGCAGGCATCGTCACCGTCCGTCACGACCGTTTGGAAGAGGTCCGGCAAGATGGTGAGGAAGAACCAGCGGATGATCGTGGTGTCGATGATGGACCAATCATGGACTCGGGGACGAGGCTGGAGTTGACGATACAATCCACGTGGTCAATGAGGTGATACTCCCAAAACACGAGAGAAAAATACGTCTTTCACGTGTAGTAGGAGGAATCCTCCTGCGAGAGACGAACCGACACTCGCTTGAAGATGTTGAGATTACGGATGTCGTTGACGTTAGGAGGGTTGGCGTCGGTGAACGGATTGAAGTTGGTGGACGTGAAGGAGGTGACGAACAACATAACGAGGACAGAACGGTACGGCTCGGGTTGGAACTGGCAGTAGCTGCGGGCGATACGCGGCGGCTGGACGGGCGATACGCACGGCAGCAGTGGCTATACGCGCGGCTATACGCGAGCTGGACAGGCGGTAGCGGCGGCTTGCGAGTTGCAGGCGCACGTGGGATGGTAGCGGCGGCCGGCGCAGTGGATGTGCGGGCGGCAACGGAGGGAAGGTGGCGGCGACGGCGGCACGGAGAAGGCGCGGCAGCGGAAGACTAGGGTTTAGAACCTAAAAAACGGATACCATGTATGAGATATGAGCCGTGCTCTTCGTGTATAGCACGTATATATGATGTATAAAGATGAACCTCGGACCTCAACTATATAAAAAATTAGGAGGCGGGCCCAATACACAATATGCACATAACACATATACTCAACACTCTCACCTCCATCAATTGTGGGAGAGGAAAACTGTTACTTTTTCTCTGTGATTTTAGTAGTCTAGGTGCCTTAATTAGGTCTCTGCCTATCCATGCTCCAACACCAGCGGGGGCAAATATTTTTTCTCCATATCTCTCATCGAAGCGGTGGTCATCTCGATTATCAGTGTTGAATCTAGGAGACGGTGATTGTGTTATTTTGGGTCCTTCAGAATGTGAGTTGGCAGAAACTTTGTTATGGTTCAACTCTGCAATTTTTGATCCACACAAGTCTTCTTCTTCGGTGGTTGGTCTTAGCACGATGATTTTATCGACCGTAGGATACATTGTCATGAGTGTTGGCGATGGACGTCAACAACAGTACACTTTTGGCTCGTGTCAATTGAGTTTGTTTAGCTGGTTTTTCACATAAATGGTGTGGTTCAGTCTAAATTTTGAAGTTTTCAACTTGCATGGAGCTCAGTCTAAATTTTGGTATTTTCATGAAAAATACTACTCCCTCCGTTCTTAAATATTTGTCTTTTTAGAGATTTCAAATGGACTACCACATATAAATGTATATAGATATATTTTAGAGTGTAGATCCACTCATTTACTCTGTATATAGTCACTTGCTAAAATCTCTAGAAAGATAAATATTTAGGAACGAAGGGAATAGTATTATATTAAAAGTTGGACGGAAAATATATTACTCCCTCCGAATTAATGGACGTCCTCTATACAATGTTGGGTCTTGCATAGAGGTTGCGTCATTTAATTTAGATAATTAATTTATATCAGAGGAATTATTACGATCTCTTTTTTTACGTTGCCCGCATTTAAATACTCCTCCACTCTTTTAGGCTGCTTGTAATGGGTAGTATCATAAGTTAATATCATGCATATGAAACTAGTGTGTGATACTACCTCCCTAATGCATAGTATCATGTACTAGTATCATAGATGACTTTATTTATTGTCATGCATGACACATAGTAGCATTGTATTTATTATGAAACGGTATCATGATATGATACTCAACCATCTCTTTCTTCATTTAATGCTATGACACATCATCAAAATTGCCTACTTGGCATGCATGATACTCCCTTCGTTTCCAAATATTTGTCTTTCTAGCATTTCAAATGGACTACAACATACCAATGTATGTAGACATATTTTAGAATGTAGATTCACTCATTTTGCTTCGTATGTAGTCATTTATTGAAATCTCTAGAAAGACAAATATTTGGGAACGGAGGGAGTACTAGTTATGATACTCCCATTACGACCAGCCTTACCGGCCTGATTATCGTCCCACTTTTGCATTTCCCGACCTGCGTGCACCCAACGCATAAGAGCATCTCCAACAGCCGCGCTAAACTAGCGCCGCGCCACAAATTAGGCCATTTTAGCGCGCGCGCAACGCGGCGGGTCGCTCCAGCGGGCGCGCAAAAACGGCGCGCGCGCTATAACGGGTTGGGCGCGCGGTTGAAAACACTTACCCGCGCTGCGTATTTCGGGCGCCAGCTACAGCGCGCGGCACACTCGAGCGCCCGCGCCGCACTCTCTCCTTTCCTCGTCCTACGCCCTGCGCGCGCCGGCGCCCTGCCACCCACCCATGGAGGCGCACACCGACGCCCCGCTCACCC